AAATACAGATAGAGGATTATCTGTATCAGAAAAATTTGTATCAACCACTATCGGGGAAGAAGCCAGATTCTATGAAGATAGATGAGTAGAACCTTCTAGACAGACAAGCTCTCGGTGTTATTAGATTGACGTTGACTCGCAATATTGCGTTCAACATAGCGAAGGAGAAGACCACGGCAGGTCTTATGACAGCACTCTCAAATATGTATGAGAAGCCATCAGCCGCAAATAAAATTTATTTGATGCGGCGGTTATTCAATCTGAAAATGGCAGAAGGCGCATCAGTAGCACAACACCTCAATGAATTTAACACGGTCACAACCCAATTGAGTTCAGCTAAAATTGAGTTTGATGAGGAAGTTTGGGCGTTGATACTTTTGTCTTCCCTCCTAGAGAGTTGGAATGCTACAGTCACGGCAGTGAGTAGCTCGTCGGGAAACAATAAGTTAAAGTTCGATGACGTTCGTGATCTAGTTCTCAGTGAGGAGATCCGACGGAGAGAGTCGGGTGAAGCTACAACCTCTTCAGTATTACATACAGAGTCAAGAGGTAGAAATTTAACCAGAGACAACGGACGAGGCAAATCAAACTACAGAGGTAGATCAAAGGACAAGAGATCCAAGTAAAGGAATCCAAGCAACAGCTCGAAAGCTATCGAGTGTTGGAATTATGGAAAGACCGGGCATTACAAGAATCTGTGTAAGAGTGCTCAGAAGGAGAAGGAGGCGAAGACAGGGGTGAATGTCACTTCCACCTCAGGAGGAGACGACGCATTGATATGCTCTTTGGAGAGTAAGGAGGAATATTGGGTGTTAGATTCATGAGCGTCGTTCCATGCTACTTCTCAAAAAGAATTCTTCGAGAAGTATATTCTCGAAAATTTTGGATACGTATACCTTGGTAATGATCAACCATGTGCTATTATGGGCAAAGATGTGGTGAAAATTAAGTTGAACGGGTCAGTATGGGAGCTGAAGGACGTCAGGCATATTCCCGACCTGAGAAAGAATTTAATATCCGTAGGCCAATTGGCTGACGAATGATACACTACGACCTTTCATGGAGATGATTGGAAGATTTTAAAGGGCGTAATGACGATTGCCCGAGGCAAGAAGACCGGTACCATGTATATGACAGCAGTTGCACGTTGTTTGATCTCAGTTGCAGCAGGCAATGAGACTTCAAAGCTGTGGCACTAGAGACTCGGTCATATGAGTGAGAAGGGGATGAAAATCATGCACACAAAGGAAAAACTCCCAGGACTACAGTCAGTGGAGATGGATATGTGTGAATAATGCATACTTGGAAAGTAGAAGAGAGTTAGCGTTCAGACAAGTGGCAGAACCCCCAGGAAAAAGAAGCTAGAGCTCATTCACTCAGATGTTTGGGCACCAACCACCACCGCGTCCATTGGTGGGAAATACTACTTTGTGACTTTTATCGATGATCACTCTCGGAAAATATGGGTCTACTTTCTGAAGCATAAGTCAGAAGTATTTAAGGCTTTCAGGAGATGAAAAGCCATAGTCGAGAATGAGATCGGTCTGAAAATAAAAAAACTCAGGACCGACAATGACGGTGAGTATGAAGACACCGGATTCAAGAAGTTCTGCTATAAACACGGAATCAGAATGGAAAGAACCGTGCCCGGCACGCCTCAACAAAATGGTGTAGCTGAGCGAATGAGTTGAACGTTGACAGAGAGAGCCAGAAGCATTCGGATACAGTCGGGCCTACCGAAGTAGTTTTGGACAGAAACGGTGAACACAGCAGCTTACTTGATCAACCGAAGTCCATCGGTTCCATTAGAGCACAGAATACCAGAGGAGGTATGGTGCGAGAAGGAGGTAAAACTCTCACATCTCAAAGTTTTTGGTTGTGTGGCTTATGTGCATATTAGTGATCAAGGCAGGAATAAGCTTGATCTCAAGTCAAAAAAATACACTTTCATCGGCTATGATGAAGATGAGTTCGGCTACCGCATTTGGGACAACGAAAACAAGAAAGTGATCCGCAGTAGAGATGTGATATTCAACGAGAAGGTGATGTACAAGGACATACACAAGACAGACGACTCAGAGAGCGAGTCAATATTTGTAGATGCAGATGATGTCTTGAGTAACCTCTCGAAAAAACCTAATGCAGAAGGTCCTCAGCCAGAAGAGCCTGTTGGACAGAATGGTGCGCAGGAGCCCGACGCACCAGCTCCGATATTGAGAAGAACTTCCCGTCCTCCTGTACCCAACAGGAGATACATAAACTATCTGTTGCTGACAGATGGTGGGGAGCCTGAAAGCTTTGATGAAGCTTGTCAGAGTGGAGATGCGAGCAAGTGGGAGCTTGCTATGAAAGATGAGATAAAGTCTCTCATCTCAAACCAGACGTGGGAACTAGCTGAGTTACCTACGGGTAAGAAGATACTCCACAACAAATGGGTGTACCGGGTGAAAGAGGAGCAGGGCGGCTCCAGAAGATATAAAGCTCGGCTAGTTGTCAAAGGATTCCATCAGAAGGAAGGAATTAACTACACCAATATTTTTGCTCACGCTGTGAAGCTAAATACTATCAAGACAGTGATGAGTATTACAACAATTGAAGATCTTCATCTCGAGCAGTTGGACGTGAAAATAGCGTTTCTTCATAGAGATCTAGAAGAGGAGATATACATGCACCAGCCAGAAGGTTTCTCAGAAGAAAAGAAGAAGAACCTGGTGTGCAGACTCAAGAAGAGCTCGTATGGCCTGAAACAAGCCCCAAAGCAGTGGTACAAAAAGTTTGACGGCTTTATGCACAAGGAAGGTTTTTAGAAGTGCAACGCCGACCACTGTTGTTACTTCAAAAGATATCAGTCCAGTTATATCATCCTACTGCTGTATGTTGATGATATGTTGGTTGCAGGAGCAGATATGGAGGATATCATGAGTTTGAAGCAGCAGCTGTCAAAGGAGTTTGACATGAAGGACTGCAGGAGCAGATATGGAGGATATCATGAGTTTGAAGCAGCAGCTGTCAAAGGAGTTTGACATGAAGGATTTGGGTCCAGCAAAGAAGATCATTGGAATGCAAATCACGAGAGACAAGAAGAAAGGGTTATTGCAGTTGTCTCAGACGGAGTACATCAACCGTGTTTTGGCAAAGATTCAACATGAGCGACGCCAAGCCAGTGAGCACACCCTTGGCCAGCCATTTTTGTCTATCGAAGGATCACTCTCCTCAGTCAGAAGAAGAGAAAAAGAGTATGGCTAAGGTCCCTTACGCCTCAGCCATCGGAAGTTTGATGTACGCAATGGTCAGTACGAGAACAGACATTGGTCATGCAGTGGGAGTGGTCAGCCGGTTTATGTCGAATTCAAAAAAAGCTCATTGGGAAGCGGTCAAGTGGATTCTGAGATATCTATGAGGCACCACACATAAGTGTTTGTACTTTGGTAAGGGAGAGGTGGAAGTGCAAGGGTACGTAGATGCAGCCTTCGGCGGTGAAGTCGATCACCGAAGAAGCACCACCGGCTATGTATTCACTGTCGGAACTACAGCTGTTAGTTAGATGTTACAGATATAGAAGATTGTCACTCTGTCCACTACAGAAGCTGAGTATGTTGTAGTGACTGAAGCCAGTAAAGAGATGATATGGCTTCAGGGTTTATTAACAGAGCTGAGATTCAAACAGGAGAAGAATGTTTTGCATAGCGATAGTCAGAGTGCGATTCACTTGGCTAAGAATTCCGCATTTTATTTTAGAACAAAGCATATTACACTTCGGTACCATTTCATCAGATCCCTGTTGGAAGATGATGTGTTAAAACTGGAGAAGATTTCAGAAAGTAAGAATCCAACAGATATGTTAACAAAAATGGTGACCGTTCAGAAACTGGAGTTGTGCGTAACTTCAGTTGGCTTTCATGCATAAGTGATGAGGGCGGAACCACATAAGAGATGATACTTGTTGAGATAGTCTGCTGAAGACGGTTTGTTCTCCAAGTGGGAGATTGTTGGAATTGGGTGAAGAATCAAACCTCCGTAGGCGAGATCGACGGCGAGCTCGAGGCTAGCTTCAGACGAGGGTCGAAATCAGTTCGAGCGGTTGATTTTTGGACGAGGGTCGAGGGTCGAGCTTCAAGTTTAGACGAGGTTCGGACATGGGCTGACGAGGCTCGAACACGAGAAAAAGAGGCTCGAGCAAACGAACTTCGGTGGACGAGGTTCGAGCCCTATGCATGAGCTGGCGATAGCCTGTCGCCAGCGTAACCCTAGGGTTTCCCTATAAAAGGGAAACCTAGTGCTCGAGCTCTGTGTGCTCTCCCTCTCTCTCGTGTGCTCTTCTCCAGCGGCGGCAGACCCAAATCGCAGTAGCGATTTCTCCCCAGGCGGCGGCCATTTTTCCCCTCCTGCTCTTTTCTCTTTTCTCCAGCACTCACGGTTTGGGGGGGTTTTAGAGAGAGAGAGAAGAAATTAAAAGGGAAATTAAAGGGGTTCTTAAGAGCATTAAATAAGGATTATTCCCTTTGGTCATTTAACACTATAGCTACATTGTTTGTATTGATGGATCTCAGTTTGAGATCGGCTCTTGTGCTGTAATTTCTTATTGATAAATAAGAAATTAATTGTGTGGCTCCCGAAGACGTAAACAGTTGCCGAATCTCGTTAAACTTGATATACTTTTCTCTATACCGCGTTTTCTGCTGTCTTAGGGTTTTCAGCGTTAAATTCCCAACAAAATAAATTATCAAAATTTTATATAAAAAAAAAACCTAGTGCACTTCATGATAATTTCGCGAAATTTAACCTCAATTGGCCCTACACAACGTCTAACCACAATCAAATGAATGAAAGAAGAAGCACATCAAACCCGACCCGACCCGACCCGCCACATCACTCTTCTGACAGCCAATCCAACCTCTTCCAACAACGTACCAGGACGCTTTCCCGTCTAAATGCAGTCTCCTCCCTCCTTTATTTAACTTCCTCTCTCTCTCTCTCCCTCTCTTAAAAGAGTCCTAGCAAAGCTCTCTCTGATATATGTTGTTGTTCTCCATCGAGAGAGAGAGACAGAGAGAGGAGAAGATGATGATGATGGAGGGATTGAAGAACAAGAAGAAGGAAGAGAGCTTTCATGTCATCCACAAAGTTCCAGCTGGGGATAGCCCTTATGTCAGAGCTAAGCACCTACAGGTACTTTACTTTCCTCTTTTTCCTTCATTAGATCGATTTTCTACTTTCATTTATTCGTTTTCGCTCTTTTATGTGCCACTTAGTAGCTAGTATTTTTATTTTTATCTTTTTTATGTCTAGATATATATATAAATATATACATATATATATATATATATGTAGCCAATCAGGATAATTCTTTTTAGAGTGCATGACTATTCCCTGCAACTCTTTTATTACATGAGTATTGTTGGTTTTATGGTCACTTATCAACCTAATAAGTAATACCAATCCTTATACTAAAAATAATGTGCATGAAATTTCCTTCAAAATTGCAATAAACTGTAACGTTAATTTATATTGTAGCGGGGCTCTTAATTTGCTGACTAATTGATCGCTGAATTATGAAAAAAAAAACAATTCTTTGTGGAATTATTGAATATTATCGCTAACTTATTGCATGGAAGTTAATATGTTTATAAAGTGATGCACTTCAAAAGAGATAATAATTGTGACCTAAAATGAATAATTGTGAGCTAATGGTTCCAGTTACAAGCACTAAATGTACACAACGAAAGGAGCACATGAATTTCACCTCAATATTAAAATGAATTAAAATTAAAATTAAAACTAAAATAAATAAAGCCTTAATTAGATCATATACCAGTGATATTGACATTAGCTAGATATTATGCTGGGCTGTTGAGGTATAGACGTTCCCCTAATTATTAGGGTTTCGAAGTAGCAATTTGATAGATTATATGTGTGCTCTAAAGTGTGTTAACATGGAGCAAATGTAAAGTAATATTTCAAATTATATTTTACATTTTTTCTTTTTCCATTGGCGTTCGTGTTTGATATCACTAGTAAAATGTGCATGTTAAGTCATTTAACAACTTCAAAGGTGAACAACAATCTTATAAATCTACTAGCAAGAGTATAGGTCTTCGTCAATGTTGCATGTTTATAAGACTGAGATCTTCTTTTAACTGAATCCTGAATATTAAAATTAATTAGATCAGATTCTACTATGATGAGGTTTTTTAGTAGACTGAAATCCTAATCTAATGATGCCAATCTCATATATATTTTTTATTTATCTGATGAATTTCCACCAAGCTTTCTCAACTATGTATAGTACAAATGTATATTTTTTCTAAAAAGGGGTGGAGGAGAAAAAAAAAGGAAGATTTAGAATAAAAAAGAAAATGTTCTGGGTCTTTGCCAACAACCTTATGTACGAAAAATCATTTTAATATCACAACAACTTTGGAATTTTTAATTTTTTAAGGTTTAGGGTTGGGTTCAGGTTTAGGGATTGAGGTCTACTAAATCTCCATATATGCCGGAACTGGAACCCTATGTTGTCTACTTTCTTCAAATTAATTTTAGTACAGTTAATCAAAGATATATGCATATCTAATCATCATACAACTTCAAATACTTGATATCCAGCCAAATTCCCCCTCAAATTTCACAAATGATGTACCTACGTAGTATTAGTTAGTCACAAATGTCTGAAATAAAAAATTAAATAAAATAAATTTAGGCCCATTGTATTTGAGTTTCATTTTCTTCATCTTTTAACGCATTTGGATCTTTTATTAAAATCTACCTAATATTCTAGCTATATGCTGAAATCTGTCTCGTAATTACATCATGATTAAAGCATTTAATAAAATATCTTAGTACTATGAAATCCAATCAAATGTCAATCATCACTTTTAAAATAGAGTGGCACTAGGGGCACACCCTCAACCACAACCCCCTCTCTCTTGCTACAATGCATCGGGCCCCACATAAGATTTTAAAAATTTAAAATCTCATGTGAGGCTTCGTACACTATAGCAAGAGAGAGAGAGGGGGTATGGTTGGAGTTGTGGTTAGGGGTGTGCTATCATTTTCCTATAAAATACTCTATCCACGTTACTATTTAGAGAAGAAAAATTTTTTAAGGACCCAAAATATGGGACCAATAAAGAGGACAAGTGAGGTGTTCCCCTCCTATTGGATAATGAGTTGGCCATCATTAATGATGACCAACTCATTATCCAATAGGAGGGGGACACTTCACTTGTCCCTTTTATTGGTCCCATATTTTGGGTCACTGTAGCAAAGCTCTTTAGAGAAAGAGGCTACATCCTTTTTGTTGTTTCTTAATGATGGCAACTCTTCATCTTTCTTCTAATAGGAATAACACCCTTTTTGTTGTTTCTTAATGATGGCAACGCTTCATCTTACTTCTAATAGGAATAAATTTAAAATTTTTAGAATAATATTTGGAGAAAAGAAAAGAAATAGACCATAATGATTTTTTTTATGTTCAACAACGAATCTCTTTATAATAAACAGATCCATTTTGCAAGTAGTTCCTACAAAGGATCGGACTAATAAAGTATACAATACTTGAATTATCATATAGATGCTACATAGTTGGTTCTCATTCTTTGGACTACGAGTGTAATAGGTTCGATATTAATAATTGAAAGATGGGCGAAAGAAAAAATTTCTATTTGATGGGACTTCTTCCTATACCTATAAATTCCATTGAACCCAGAAATGAGACATTGGAAGAATCTTTTTGGTGTTCCAATATCAATAGATTGATTATTTCGCTCATGTATCTTTCAAAAGAGAAAACCATTCCTTAGAGTTGTTTGGTGGATCCGCAAGAGAGTGCTTGGGTTCTCCCAATAAATAAAAAGTGTATCATGCCTGAATCGAACAGGGGTTCGCGGTGGTGGAGGGGCCGGATCGGATTAGCCATGGACTTAATTCCGTTAAATCTTATGGCATCGTTGTTTTTTTTTTGTTTTTTTTTTTTGAGAGAAGACGGTGGGTGCAACGACCAAAATATATATACTGCCAGCAATAATCTGATTATAAGCTAGACAATAATATCATCAAACATTATTAATCATTTTCATTATTACTGGCGGGAAAATTTTCAATTTCCTTCAAGAGCTGACCCTGGTATTTAAAATCACAGCTAGTTGAAAAAGATCATGAATCAGCCATCATCTGGTTTTGGAAAGCAATAAACGCGGGTGACAGAGTAGACAGTGCCCTCAAGCCATCAAATCCTTTCGCCACCTCTGCTCAAAACAAGCTCAAGATTCCCTCGACAACCTCCTCATCGACCTCTACAAGAAATGTGGCCAGATCGACCAACAGATCCAACTCCTCAAACAAAAACTACGGGCCATTTACTTGGGCGAAGCGTTCAATGGAAAAACCACCAAGACCGCGAGATCTCACGGAAAGAAGTTTCAAGTCTCGATCCAACAAGAGACGGCGAGAATTTTGGGAAACCTTGGATGGGCTTATATGCAACAGAATAACTATGATGCAGCTGAGGTTGTCTATAGAAAGGCTCAGTTGGTTGAACCGGATGCAAACAAGGCTTGCAATCTCGGCCTTTGCCTTATGAAAATGGGGAGATTTGACGATGCACGTTGTGTTCTCGGTGATGTTGTGAATAGGAGATACTCGGATTTAAGTTTGGATGAGAGTAACAAGACGGTGGCTCGAGCTGAGGAGATGATGAAGGAGATTGAGGAGTTGAGGATGAAGGATGAGGTTTCTTCAGTGGAGGAGATTATGGAGAGGTTGGATGTGATGAACGAATGGACTCCTTTTAGGTCAAGGAGATTGCCTATCTTTGAGGAGATAACTCCTTTCAGAGATCAGATGGCTTGTTGATTTAATTTGTTCTCTTGAATAGTTTTTTTGTATGTTAATAGTTGTTAAGAGGAGAAGAAGGGTGTTTTGTGTATATGTTTGTCGAGTTCTCTTGTGCGTAACGATGGGTAATGAGGTGACTGGGGATGGTGGTTAGCGTACAAGCTAGCTGTTTGAAAAGTTAAATCTGCTTTGTTTTTTTATCGCAAAGAGGACAATTATTGGTCTTTTTAAGTCTTCAATTATTGAGCTTCTTCTGTAGGAAACATGAAGTTTTGACCTTGTTAGTACCGACACGAGTGATCAATAATTGAGCCGAGGCTTTTTATTAACCTTTATCCAACTTCTTTTAGCAATTATAGATAAACTGAAGTGGCAATGATCATCAAGAGGTATTGAAATGTTATATTGGTTCAGCTGCTTTGTTTGTCGGAAGTTCTAGTTGACTATGGAGAGGGTTGATCTCGTGATGAGTAAGCGAAGCACTATCTTGAACTAGGACTAGGAGACTGCCCTCGCTTGAGGCGATCTCTCCGTGCAGGGATGAGATGGTCCTCAGTAGCCCAATTATTAATAAAAAAAAAGAAAAGAAAAAAAAAAGAGAGGGACTACGCTTACAAAGAGGCTTATCCATGGGACTCCTGCTTTTTATATCGAAGGTTAAATGCCAGCCTGTATTCTTACAATTTACGCATTGTCAAGCATCTGCCGTGAGTCCCAAATATCGAAGGACAACAAATTTCAGCCCAAAACATTGGCCTGTTCATACCTCGTTCAGTATGGATTAGCTTCATTGGAAATAAATCGAAACTAAACAGCAACATTCATGTAGTTTTACACTTTCTTTTACAGGCGCAACAATGAAGAAAATTACCCTCAGCCAACTGAACATTCTAATGAATCAAATATCATCTAAATGACAAGAAAACTCTACAGAAAGACAAGCCTCTACCGACAAATCAAAAGCAAGATAGGAATAATATGTGCATACATTTAGGCTATGCGCACAGAAAGATCCTGTGCATAAAAAGTAACACAATTCCAGTAATCATTTGTTCAGAAGAACGAAAGAACGGCAAAGGATATACCATTTCACCAATCACAAGATGTCAAACCACAGTCTACAACATAGAAGTCTTTTTTTCGTAGTAATTGATACATGACTATACTTGAGCACCAGCAGAAACGACGACTTGATAACGGGCATGACGGAGATCATGATGATACTCAATGGCATTTGAAGCCGTGGCAAACAGACAAGACGATGATGAGAATTAAAGCGATAATGATGCCCAACACAATCAATTTGATCTTCATGTTTTGAAACCACATCTTTCTCCTCATCTTTGTTCCCTGCTGGCGGAAATCCTGTGCCTGCAAATATGCATATTTAATCTTGTTTAGAGGTAAAATCTAAGGTTTCAGCTCACCAGCATATTACACACACACAAACACACACATCCTCTATGAGCAATATGGAGGAACTTAGTACTAAGCATAAGTTTTTATGCTTGGAAGTGAGGTGGTTCATTCTCATCCACTCATTCAAATAGGGGACCACATTCACATGAGTTGGAAAGTGGAAGAAAATGAGATAACTGATGAGTGCATGGGAATATGTCACCTCACTACCAAGCACAAAATCTTGTGTTTGGTACCAAGCATACTCATTTCTCTCTCTCTCTCTCTCTCTCTCTCTCTCTCTCTATATATATATATATATATATATATATATATATATATAGAGAGAGAGAGAGAGAGAGAAATGGGTATGTTCGGTACCAAGCACAAAAATTTGTGCTTGGAATTGAGGTGGCATAATAATCTCCTCAACTAATTCAAATGGTTGTATATCCCTATGTACTCCTCAACCCATGTGAATGTAAGTTCCCAATTTGAATGAGTGGAGGGGGATTGTACCAACTCACTACCAAGCACAAAATTTGTGCTTGGTACCAAGCATATATATATATATATATATATGGGGGTAAACAATGACCACTGCTAACCTGAGAGCGAAGATTCTCTGTTTTGTCCACAAGGAGCTCAATTTTCTCTCCACGATCAAGTACCTGGGGATCGCAAATTGGTAAACAGTTAATAAAGTGCTCACTCTGTCTGCAGCTTAAAGCTCAGAATAGCAAAATTTTTAAGACGTCTCAAGCTCAAAACTGAATAGATCATAGCTGGTATGCAACAAATTCTAAAGCTTCACCTTCTCAATATTTTCCATCATCACTCCTTTCACTTCGGTAACCTGAGCCTTCACCTTTGCAAGCTTACTAATCTCCTCAGGGTGGTCCACACAATACTGCATGTGCTCTTTCAATTTAGACCTGAATCATTGTTACTACAGTCAGTAAAGAAATAAGAAGGTATGATAGTAATTACTCTCAAGCCTTAATAGTCCGGAGAAACAATATATTTACCCAAACTCCCGGTTAAGACTGTTGGCTACAGCAGTCGCAGCTTTTCCTCCACCGTATCTTTTGTTAAAATCTTCCTTAACCCTCTCAAGAAATGCAATGGGCACTTGTCTACCAGTTGACTCCACAGCAACAACACAGTATGCTGCAGGAAATCCAAGTAAATAAGATGCTCATGTATGAGCGTGGGTAGCAATATCCAAAGACAATGTGCATGCATCTCAACAATAAAATAATTAAAGGAACTATTCTGATAGGAATAGAAATGGCACTCTCAGTGAGACCAAGTTCTAGTACTAAAGATCACTTCAGGAAAGGAGCAATAAAGGGGGGGGGGGGGGGTCAATAAAGCAAGAAACAAAACTTACACAACACGCTCAATTTACAAATTAACAAACTCATAAGTCATACCAGTATACAACCTATCTTTTCATTTACTTTCTCTGAGAAAAATTGGAGCAAATGTTGCCAAATTTGATCAGATAGATTTTTTTTTAATTTTAAAGTTTTAAGGAAAGAAAACACGATATGACTTTTTGTTTTAACATTGAAGAATCTCAAAATGGTTGAGCTAACCTTCAAACCTGTACTTAACAGATGCAAGTCATATGTCAAATCCAAGGAATCAACCACCACACAACTGTTTCCATTACAGCAAACGTTTAGATCCAACAATCAAAGCATGCAGGACAACTGAAGGATCCAATATCCCAAAGTCCATGAGAAAGTCACCTCTGCAACAATATTCCAACATTTTGGTATGCACGATTGCACGAACCTAACCCTAACAGAGAAACTGAGAAAATATCCTAAAACAAACTTCCATGACTTCATGCTATAAGCTAGTCTCCACCATGCACGTATATGCACACACTCGCACAGAATTACATAACCTAATAAGGATTTGTACACCGAAGATAAATTATCAAAAGAGCACAGATGATTAAATAGTGTAGTATCACTCTCTGAGTTTTCTTTTCATTTTTCAGTTAGGGGTGGGTGGCGGTGGATCTAATAAGTTTCTCCATGAATAAATTATGATTAAAATTTACTATTTCTCATTCAAAGTTGTGTACTGATTTTATGCAGAAATACAACTAGTGATTGAATGATCAGAAGGAAGCATTGCTCACAGGTTACAAATTCTCTAAATAAAATAACATATATCATCAGATGATATGATGGATATGAAATATTCATCTCCAACATTTCACTTACTCTATGCATAAGGAAATGGCTGTTAAAATAAGTGATTGCCTCGAAGAAGTTGTAGTCTAATACACCATAATTCTTGTATAACTTAAAACTCTGTTCAAGCACTTCAAAAAGCTAGTTATACTTTTCTAGATACCATGAATCACCTGATCTTAACTATAGTCATCAAGGAGACATGGTTGCCCGAAGGCTATGTTACCTGGGTACTTCTAATCTAGAGCCGTACCCGTACCCGACATGTATCCGTACCCAAACTTTTCGAACATTCCTTGCATATATGTGCATACATTTATTAGAGCATGTATTCAATTATACAATACATGTTTTACTTTAAAATACTCGTCATGCACTTTTTGGGCATATATCATACGCATCACATCCAATTCTTGGAACCCCTTGGGCATAAATCAGGTTCCGAATTATTATTTTGAATGACCGTTTGAATGTCTACTTCAAAAACTAGCAATTTTTCCAATTTATAATCCACATAAATGTTAATCCTCATCCTTGTTATAAATTATTAATTTCAGTATATAACATGTGTATATGAATATTATATAGCAGCGTCCCTGTACCCTACCTTTTACAAATTTGTCGTGTCCTGTATATGTACCCGTACTGGTACTCGTACCCATGAAACATAGCTTGAAGGCAACTGATATGAGCCATAACCTTAATAAAAGTGGTAGCTCAATGGAAAATAAATAACTAGGATATATACGGGTAAGTTGACACCTCCATGTTTAATATATCCCCGCAACCCCAGGCAGTGTGCAGAGGTTATGTTTATAGATCTATACATGAAATGCTGATTGTAACATAATGAAAAGTTAATGCATATGATAGAAAACTCGAATGGAGGTAGGAAGCATGTGTACATTGTATCTTTAAGTAGCATGTAACATCAGAACTAAACCCAATAATTCATGCTTAAACAAATGTCAGTTAAAGCAAAACATGCAAAAATGATCTGTCCATTTCTATATAAACTCCTCCCATGCATCTAGTCCACCTTTTTCATATTATTGGATAAGTTAAATCAAATTCCACAAGCCATGGCGTCATGCTTGCTAACAGGCTATTGAGCCCTTACTTCCCTGCCAAGCTTATAGGAGTGAGAACTTCTACAAAGATAGGGGGGAATGAGAAAGGACCAAGACTTTCTTTGTGAGGTTTAGTGCGCTTTTAGTGGCCAAAGGCAAAAATTAGAAGGCAAAGAATGATAGGGGAATTGGAATCTATAAATTTGCATAATAAAGAAAACAAACAAGTAATTGATGCTAAGATTTAAATAAAAACAGTAAACATAAAAAAATGAAAATACCATGTGAAAATTTTATTAAACCTCGAAGTGGGACAACAGTATTCCAAAACGACATATCAAAGTGGGGCTTTAGCAGACTTTTTACAACAATAAGACACCAATTTTGTGCCGATATACATTCCTCATGAGTAGGGACCAGAACCATTGTCAATAATTGATCAATATCTCCATTTGTTTCTAATAATATATTAGGTTTCAGGTTATGGATATGGCATGAGCCATGACCTGTATCCAATCCACTTATGCCTAACAAACTCAACAGAGAACTTTAGTCTTAAGAATCTGTTTCAAAATTATTTCTCATTCGTGATAAAGGACAAAG